TCCATCATTCTCCTTTATCCTGTCCTCCCTCCATTCCTGAAATAGTTTCAACAGGTCTCATTTTTTCATTTTCATACATGTGTACATAATATTTCTACCATATTCACCTTCCTACACCCTTTCCTCATATCCTCCCCCTCCCACTGAACCATATGCATATTTATAAGTCACCTCAGCCTGTTTTTTAGTAAGAAGAAATATAAATAATGTAGACTTGCTAGTCCGCAAAATATTTATACATCTAATTTGATCCTAATAACATTCTTGTGAAGAGAAAATTACTCCCCTGCGATAGATGAGGACACTAGGCTTAGACAGGTGGATTGACTTGTCTGAGGTCACACTGAGAGGGCAAGACAGAGTCAGGTGTTATACTACCACTCTCTTCCTCCATGTTCAGGACATTACGCATGAAGGCAGAGGGTGACAGTGGCTACTTCTGTTGAGGGACTAGCATAGAACCTATAAGGTGTGTGCAAGTTTTCATTTAAGTTTTCACTTAAATTGACTTAAAGAAAAATGAAAATATTTATTTTCATAGACATAAGTATTCTGTAATATTAATGACTGTTCCTATGATTGTGAGCAATACACATGGTGACTTTCCAGGGAATGTCAGAAAATTTTTAAAGATTAAAGTAAATCTCTATCCATCTGCTAAGGATTAAAATGTACTCCATCAATTGTTTTCAGAAAATAAACAGTGCCAGGGGTATAGTCTTGGCAAAATATGAAAAATATAAATTGATTAAACTTATTTTAATGGGTATTTACCTGCAATTTGTCTCAAATCCAGGTGTAATCTAGATTCATTATCTTGGCCCTTCTGTCTGGGAACTGTGAGTGCTGAGCACAGGTCTGGCAGGCTGGGAGAAAAAGAATTAGGAAGGGGACCACTGAGCCAGAAAATCTCATTCTATGTGTCTGTAGAATCAGTTTTGTTGCTGACTCAGAAGGAACAAAGTATACAGTGGCTATGCCCAGCAAAGAGACAGAGGCAGACAGAGGGAAAGAATTTCAAGCTTCAGTTCTTGATGCCCCTTGGAGCCATAGAGCTTCTACCATTTCTACCACTCCTCAGTTATGGCTCTGGACTCCCCCCCGAGCCTGCCCAAGTGTTTGGTGCCCTCACTGTGGGGGAAAGGAATCCATTGATCCTGTGGGATGGCTGCAAATCCCCCAGGCCTGGCAGAAATCATGGGAGTTACCCCGCCTTTCCCAGATCCCTTTTCTTACATAGTAACCATCATTTTAGACAAGGTACTAATAAAAAAAAAAAAAAAGGGCAGCCAGCCAGCCAGATATCCACCTCCTGCACCATTCACACAGTCCTTCTTCCCAGAATCTGAGGAAAGAAAATGAGGTGAAAAAAATTTTCAGCTCAGGATATAGGATACATTTTTGCTTTTGTCCCTTGCCTCAGAACCAGGTATAAAAGGAGAAAGCTGAATATTTTGATTTGGTTTACAAGGTTCAGAACAATATCATGCATATATCCCAGTCATTTTATTACAGTCTTTTTATTTACATCACTAATCAGTGGAACTGCAATCTAAAAGTTTACCTACCCTGCAGCCTTGCAGTGTAGCTAAAGGAGGTCACCATGCTGTACAGAGTTTTGCAGCATATTTTTCCAGAAGACAGATCTGGGGTATAGCAGCATCTGAATACTTACTTGCATGTCAAGTGTGTAAAAGCTTTGGTAAGTCTCAAAGGAAACCTTCCTGACACACCTGGCAAGCCTGGAACCTGATCTCTCCTTCTTCCTTGCTGCTTCACATCGCACTGACGTGGTGCACAAGGGGAAGCTCCAAAAGAAAGAAAACAAAACCCATGTCTTGAGAACTTAACCTGCATGGTGACCGCAATCAAGTAATAATCAACAAAAGCAGACAAACCTACATGTAGGAGCACAGAGCTCTAAGCCCATTCTGGGCTTTTTCAAAGGACTTGAGTATACAGCTAGTTTTACATTGTAGCATTTGGTTAAAAACAGTCACTCACATCATCCCAAATTTTTATGCTCAGAAGTTGCACATGAATGATATATGACTTTTCTTCAAAGCCATTGAATCTGAGAGATTTCCAAACACATCACACATTACAGTTAGCTATTTTTGCAGTGAAGGGCTTTCAGCCAACTGGCTCATACTCATTTGCCTAGAAAAGCAGAGGAAGAGAAATGCTTAGCCAGTCAACAGCAAATAGGTGAGCACCTGAAATTTAAATTGTTTTTCTAGTCCTGAATAAACGATAGCAGTTTCCCCATTTAGATTATCAGAGCAGGATGACCCCTCAACCAAATATATCATGCAGTTTTAAAGGTACTCTGGTTCTGCTATCAAGCAAATCCCCATTCACACATCAGAATCCAATTCATCATGTAAGACCCTACTCCCCTTCCCCCACCATGATTTCTGTATTGTCTCTGCCTTCCTTGTATCCATAACTTGAAGTGTTCACTAAGGTTACCTGTATGCTTATCTAAATTCCTGTTCCTGGATTATAAGGAAGTAAGGCATGTCCTCTGTTCTCTGCCCTTTGGTGCCCTGTTCACATGTCCTTTCAGAATGCCTTGCAGATTCTAAATATGTGTTGACCCCAGTTGATTTCCTAAAAAAGCCTAATCACCATCTGACTGGTTAAAAACAGTCACTCACATCATCCCAAATTTTTATGCTCAGAAGTTGTGAGGTTCCAGCCAAAAGTATACACACACACACACACACACACACACACACACACACACACACACACACACGTAAGCACACATTTCTTCATAGTAACTTTCTCTAAGTTCCACATAACCTTCAAATCATGCAGGTATCCTGATCTTTTTTTTCCTGTGCTCACCATCTATAAATAAATACAAGATCTTAAAGGACATTAAAACTCAGACACATAATTAAAGATCCCCTTCCCTCCTGCTCCCTCACCTGAACAGCAAGAGTTAACACTACAAAAATATTTGTAATCTCAGACTTCAGAGTCATGTTTGCTTTTATATTCCTGAGCCTTTCTTGCTTTCATTTCTGCCTGAAATCCTTTCTGGAATAAACAAATATAAAGAAACAAAAGCAGCGTTTAAAACAAAGAAGCAAATATGTCTCATTTGAGATTATTTTTTATCATTCAAGAAATAGACATCTAATTAGCTAACAAGTGGCAGGTTTGGTGCTTAGGATAAAGTGAACATTACTATATGACTGTTACAGCTTTTCCTGACCTTCTGACTTGTGTGTTGACCATGCATCTATATAATAGTTTCTTTAATCCTAACTGTATCTTTACTAAAAGATAATCAAGGAAGAGTCTGTTCATAAATTATTTTAAACTTTTTTACAATATTTTGAATATTTGCACACAACTTATGTTTACATGACAATAAACAAGTCTTTCATCAGAAAAGAATCTATCTGGAGGGCTGGGAATATGGCTCAAGTGGTAAAGCACCAATCTAGCAAGTGCCAGGCCCTGAGTTCAATCTCTAGTACCACTAAAAAAAGAAGGAGGAAAGAAGGTTCATGAACCACAATATTTTGATACAAAAAAATTGTTCTACCCTTTTACATCTTTTTTTTTCATATTGAAAGGAGTTTTCCAAATGAAGAGTTTTAAGAGTGGAGGTATGGCTCTCAGTAAAGCGACTGCTTTAGAAGCACAAAGCCCAGAGTTCAAACCCCAGTCCCACCAAAGGAAAAAAAAAAAAAAAAGGCACCCAAATGAAGGGTTTCAGCTAAGTTGTCTTAGGTCAATTCACCTCTAGATGGCTCTGACCAATAATCATTTGAAAACCCTATCCTGCCTTACCTGTAACCTCCCACACCTACTTTGTGCCTTAGGTAATAGTCATTCTTTGTAACCACAGGGGATTGGTTCCAAGATCCTTCTGGATGCCAAAATCTACAGATGCCCAAGTCCTTTCCAAACAATGGCATAATATTTGCATATAACATACACACATCTTCTGTATACTTTAAATCACCTCTAGATTACCAATAATACCTAATATGATATAAATGATACATGTACATAGGTGTTATACTGTATTGGGTAGTGAGTAATGACAAGGAAAAAAGTCTGTACATGTTCAGTACACACACAATTTTTTTCAAATATTTTCAAGCCGTGATTGTTTGAATCCAGGGCTGTGGAATCCACTGATGAGGAGAGCCAACTGTTTTTTCCTTTACATTTGGACTCTTATGAAACAGAATATGAGCTGAGTACTGATAGTTAAAGGGATTTGATGTTCTTTTCAACAAAAACACATGATTTTGAAATATGAATGTTTCACCCGAATTGCAGTAACTTCTAGTTATGGTCAGTTAGTGAGTCTGTTTAAATCTATAGAAAAAACATTTAGAATGGGGAAATATTTAAAGACAAACAGTACTTTTGTAGGTACGTCCCAAACATTATGCATAGACTCAAATTTACCAAGGCCTGTGACGTGATAGCTGAACTTTCCTGAGCATATGAAAAATACTGACTCTCTGATTAGTATCATTTCTTTCATTATATCAACATTTCTATGAAAATTGTGAGTTTCTGGAAAAGCTATAAATCATAAGACAAAGGAAACAAACACTGTGTAGAAATCCAGAATTCCTGAAAAGCTACATTTGATTAAAATACCATTTTGGAACCCTGTCAAAAACAGAACAAGGCAAAAATTTAAAAAAAATTAAAACCTGCTATAACTTATGTGATATTTTTCAATTTGTGCATCTACATGTTTTCGTTTCTACCTAAACCTAGGTTTGGACTCGGAAAATGTTTCACTGAAATTCTTGGTCCAGTTTCTACAGTGGCTATAATTTGTAAAAAATCTAGTAAGAATAAAATGTGATTATACTGGGCTTCAGTCTGAGGAATTGTTTTAGCAGGAATTTTATATGCAAGACTAATTGCTGATGAACAGAGCATAATATTGTATCCCGAGGTGTGCCAGTGCAAGCAAAATTAATTTTTTCTTCTCTTGAAATCTTCTGCCATAGCGACTACATTTGCCTCCAGACCTGTCAGACACAGTGAGCCGCTCAAGCAAACAGGATCTGGCAGAATCCGCCAAGCTGCTGGGCCCAGGCTGTGGCATGATGGCCAGAGGCAAGAAGCACCTGGACTTCTAGGGATTCCTCCTTAGTTGTTGCGTGCAGAATTATATGACACTCTAATTATGATTGCTAATAGCTTGTGTAAATATTTTTCTTCATGATTTGACCTCCAATCCTTGGGAAACACAGGATTACAAAATGGAGTACCATTCTTCATTAGCAGAAATAATATAGGAGAAATACTTTTATCTTGAAATTGTGCTTTTGCTGTGTTTAAAGAAAATGGGTAATTTGATTTTAAATAAATACAAAAAATGTCAAGATAAAATCAAGATGCCTTGCAGTGGTCATTAGTGTATGCAGACTAAGGTATTTAGTATCATGGTGAAGTGCATGTTAAAAGCAGGTATCATATAAAACATGAAATTCAAGTTATACATGAAAATAGTTTCTCTTTATTTCTGAAAAATTCACTTGCCACCAAAATTGCTAAAGGTTTTTTTTTAAAGAAAATTTTGTGTGCTAGTATATGAAATAAATTTGCATTTATGTATCCTGTTATTAAAGTATTAAAGACAAACTAATACTTGGGGATTTAGACTCTATTAAAGATAATTAGTCTACCATAGTAGTTAATAAATATAAAGAATTTGAGTGATAGAACGCATAGAAAAAGAAGTTGGATGGTCTTCTATTTAGTAATCCTAAACAATTGAAGTCAGCACTATGAAATTATGTCAACAGACGTAATTCAGGATTGAAATTCAAACTGACAGCTACATTAATGCTAGGATACAAGGGAGAAACATGCATTAAAGCTTGGTGAGAGATTTTTTTTATAGAATATAGGTGTGAGACAAAGTAGAAAAATGAAACTAACTCAGAAATCCAATCGCATCACGTAAGCCCTTTGTTAATTATGAACATTGCCTGGTATGTAAATTTCTAACCGTTCAAATATGTGTTTTGCACTACACAGCATATCAAACCAGTTTTCACATAAAACACTGGGTTTTTGAATCTTAGTTCCATATTCTCAAAGCTTTTGACAAATAATAGGTAAAAGATGACAGTTTTTAAGTAATTTGCATATTTAAGTAAAGAGCTTCAATTTTAAGTAAAGAGCTTGCAAATTTAAGTAAAGAGCTTTCTTAAAAGCTTCAATTTTAAGAAAGATGTTTAACAACCATTGGGAGAAACTGAATTTCCGAAATATATTTTCAAATATATTAGGATATTTTGAAGCAGTTATAACTAGCATTTTTAAGCAGTTTGCTTTTAATATACCACAAATTATACTTTATTTGCTCTTGACAACATTGTAGAAAACAAAGACTAGGTTTTTAAAACTGTCTAACCAATATGATGAACGTCAGTCACTTAAAAAAAGCCCACTGTAGCATAAACACATACTGTATACAGCTTTTATTCAGAATTAGAATAATTGAATCAATGACAGTGATTTGCCAGGATGTCAAATCTCTCCATCATATCCTGTCACTACCAGTTTATTTTTTGTGATCAAAATCAAAAAGACAACTGTTTTGTCACTCACTGTTTCATTATTATTAAAAAACCAGGTTTATTCTTCTATTTTTTTAGAATGTCTGGTTTATTTTTTTTTCATCTCTTTTAATTCTAAAGACACAAATTCTTCCTCATTTTCTTTTCAAAATAAAGTTTCAGAATTGATCTGTCAGTTAAAATTAAAGGGCTTTTATACTAAGCAAAGGTGCTTTTAAAATTTAAAGCAACTTCAAAAACTCGATTTAATCCATAGAAATAAATACTGTTGTGCCGACACTCCACAAAAGCTTTGCTATGAAGCATCATTGACAATATGAATAAATTCACATGAATATTTTAGTCAGGTTATTATTTTAATAACGCTAACATTTTTCTTACCGTGTTGTGATTCATTTTAGACAAACACACAACAGAAAATTACATAGCATTTGACTCTAAAAATGAAATGTGAGGTCATCAGATAATGTAAATTGCTTGTCAAATACTTAATAGATCATTAATTTACTTCCCTGGCCACCAAATCTATAAAATTAACAGCCAATTACTAGTTAATATATGCTTTGCAAATAGAGCAATACTGTGAAAGTTGAATGACTATTTTTAACCCTTATTATAAATATAAATGAAACTTTTCAAACTCAATAAAAGTACATTTTGAGTAATAAGAGTATCTAGAACTCTCAAAAAATTCAACATCCAAGTGCTTTCTTTTTTCTGATTCACTGGACAAGCTTTGTAAAAATAAACTACTGGAGAGGGATGTGTGTATACTTTTGTTTTCTTCTGATTAAAAACTCACTCCAAATAATGTGTTTTCCTTCATATTTGTTCTCTATTATCCTAATAACTTACACATAAAAATACTGGTTTTCAAAAATGCTGCTGTATGTATATACACTCTTCTGATAATTATGAAATACACATTCTATTAACAGACATTTTCAATTATCAGTTTGACTCAAAGATTAAAATATTTAAGAGCAGTGCCCAAATATAGTATCCTAAATGTCTAATATATTTTAAATGTTTCTAGTATATGAACTTCAAAGCCCTGTGTGGTGGTCACTTCTTATGCTACATCTGCCTTTCTTGAACATGAATATTTTGACTACTGCAGCCTGCTCAGGTACTGGCATTCTAAGACCTTCTGAACTTCCTTTTAATAGCCATCGGACAAGATCCATTTTTCTCTTCATCTTTTCCATTTTTTCTTTATCTTCACCTCCAGGACCTTCAAATACTAGACTAGACCAAATAAATAAAAATGCTTCAAAAGGAAGGGGCACTCTGCAGTCAATTCCCTGTCATCTTTTAATTTTAATGAATGAGACACATATATACACATCCAAAAGGGGAGTGGAGGAATCCCCTATTCATTTGTTTCCTCCCATTATCAATGTCATTTCTAAGAAATCATGTAACTGTTTTTCCAAAGATGGTCACCGTCAACGTCGAAATTAAGCAATACTAACTCTGAGACTCATACGTTGAACTTTAAAAGTGAGCACTTTAGTCATTCATGACTAAGGGGGTAGGGAGAACAACAAAGTTTATTCTGGAAAAACAGAAAAGAGTATGTATTTGGTCTTGGAGAGCCAAACATACAGACAAAAAAATAATCTTGTTAACATTAAGGCTCAAAGCTCAAAGAAAAATATAGATACTATCCTAAGATGACAGACATTCACGGAACAAAGATGAATTTAAAATAATAACTGTAGAAATAATCTTAGGAAACCCAGTTATGATTTTTTTTATAAAAAGGAAGAGTTGGTTATGTGAGCTACATCAAGAAGGCAGTTGTTTATCACTTAAGAGTTATGGGGACACAACTTCAAGCAAAAATATCCTTGGAAATTCATTGCAGTAAAAAAAATCACTTTTTACTTAGAGTGACTCAGCTATCATTCTCTTCACCTGGTTTCCCTGTCAGTCACATTTGGAGAAAAAAATATAGACTGTTAAGTCTTGTGTTTCCACTAAGAACATCACTAATACAGTCTTCATCCTGGGAAATGGCATCAAAACATACTTGCAGATTTCCCATTGATGAATATATAAATATACCTATGGGTGAATAAATAAACAAAAGTAAATTATTACAGCAATGAGTAAAAGGCCAGCTCCTAGGCACTGCTACCACACACATCATCCTTGTGATGATGTCCTCAGTGTGCCTGGTGCTTCCAACAGGACACCTCATCTCCCTTGGGTGCGGGCAGAAGGCAAAGCAGCTGAGCAGCCGTTTGTTCAGACTATACCAGGCTGTGCCACTGTGCCCTGGCAGTCCTGACCCTCAGAGGACATGTATACGTGCCCAATTGCACACATGCAGACCTCAGCCCCCACATCACTCCCCTTCTCCCATACCCAGCTTTTGCACCCAGCACATCACAGCCAGTTCTCCAAAGTCTATCCTCTATACAGCAGAGCCACGGGGCCAGCCCAGGCCACCTGACCCTGGCCCAAATTATCACCAGTTGGAAACTGTCCCTGCTTGCAGGGAAGTAGTAACCAGCCAGCAGCTGCTGCAGCACACTCCCACACAACCCTTCCTTCTCTGACAGCTCCCTCAGCACACATCCCTCAGGGAGTGGAGGCTGCGAAATGTCAGGAGGTAGAAATGTCGGCAGGGGCGATTGTACCAACAGTGTGTACGTGCCAGCGTGCAGTGCGACTGGCAGAATAAAACTACATACACACACTCAAAACCTGAAGTCAGCTTAGGGAGGAGTCTCCAAAATGTGAAGCAACTCTGGTGGAATAAAATCATTAATCTATAGCAAACCAGTAATTCCTTAACTAGAAAACAGAAGACACTGAACTAAAAGGTCATGTTTAAATCCTCCAATTTCTGTTTTTCTGATCATTTGCCTTTAGGGATTTTGAAAAATAAAGAGTGCAATTCAGTGGAAGTACATCTTTTCTCCCCAGAGGTTTCTGCCATGTGCAAGCATTTTAATCCAGATGGCCAGAAGCCCCACTCTTTTTACTGAAGTTTGCAGAAAAAAAACTTATCTATGTTGACTTATATGTTGCATCGAACAGAGAGAAATAAGAGTCTCAGGCCTTTTTTTTTAACTCAACAAAGGCTTATTTTTTTTTCATCCTGTGCTTGAGCTCAAGCACTCTTGCCCTGCTTGCCACCACTTTAAACATGATCAGATTTGTGCTTCATTGCAAATAACAACTGACCAACAATGGGCCCTGCTTCATAGATTTGGGAATGTTTGGCTTAAGCTGCCAATGACTGAAGGCCTTTAACTCCCACTGGCCAGTCACAGTCTGCTTTGTTGCTGTCTGTTGATGTGTCTGTGCTCATTATTCCTTGACATGCAACATCCCCCCCTCCACCCTCCAACCATCCACAACAGCAAGGAAAGCAAGATTCGAATGGGAACAGCTGTAGTGGTTCAATGGGAAATGATGCCTCTTGTGCAAAGGGGAGGGAGACAGAAAAGGGAGACGGCCTATCTGAGAAAGGCAACAGCTTTCAGAGAGTCTTGTTTAAGAAATCTACTTTTGAATATACTTCAGGGAAATAGGCTGACAACAGAAATCTGCCCAGATTGAAAATGCCAGCCTAGTTCAAAACACAATTCCTGGTTAATAGCTTGTTGCATTTTGAGTTATTTCTACACTTGGGGCTTTTGAATTAAATGGCTAACTGGGAAATGTTACCATTTTGTATGTAAGTTGTAGGAATAAATGGGTACAGACTGCACACAGCTTTAAGTGGAGTATTTTTCTAATACATTTCCAATGTTTGATATCTGTAAGGATTTTCTTTAAGGAACATCAGGATGTAAGACAACATATGTATGAAAGCAACTGTTGGTTTAGAATGTTATTCTAACATGGAAACAAAATTTGTAACACCACACTATAAGGTTAAAAAGAAAATAGTATAATAAAGGAAATACAAAGGCTTTGGCATGGTTTTTACAATCAACAATGGTTAATTTTGATATGTAGTTGTGAACAACTTCAAAACACTTAAGTTTAAAACTCTTGCAAGCACTTTTAATTGATTAGGAATGAATTCTAGATGCACAAAATGATTGGACTGTGAACAGTAATACAACTATATCTAAGAACAATTAACTTCTGACCAAAAAAGAAATGTATGATTGCATGAAAATGTGTATAAAACATCTATAGAGTATTCTTGTCAAATATAAATGAAATTAACTTTATTATAGAAATCATTCTGAGGATTTCTAGGGAAGACAAATACTTACATTTTGACATAAAACAAATTGGATTATATCGAAGACACACTCTACCTTTTAGCTATCAACTTTTTCTTCCTTGAATTTATATCTTACCCTTTTTTGCACATAAACTTCATCTGTTAACAACCTTTGGAAAACCAACAGATATTTCTTACATAAATCTAGTGCATGTTGTTCCAGGTTTAATTATATGCAAAGGAGAATGACACAAACTTGGAACATCAGTCCATAAACTATGAACAGATGGGTAGAAATATTTGATATATCTTGATAAAACTCTTAAATTCGTGGCAAATCTTGTTGATCATGGTTTCCTTTTTTTTTTTTCTTTAAACAGTTTCATGACCAACAGAGATCAAACATCCATCCAGTCTATGTTGTTCTTTTTTTCATTATAACATACAAATGCCCATTTACAAATAATACACCAAAATGAATAAAAGTTTGGATACCAAAATGAAGATTTGTTCCAAGTGATATGGTGCCTTCTGTATGCAAAGGTCCGTGTTTCAAGTCCATCCCCAGATGTCCAGTACAGGACACAGTTGCTGAATGAAGTGCTTCTAACAGCCATTTTCCTCTCCTGAATGCCCAACTGTTGTGTCCACATAGTCACTGACTCAATCAACACAATTTCCTTTTTTTTTTTTTTTTTTTTTTTTTTACTGTAATCTTGGCCAATATTGAGACATATCAGGTTCACTTCCAGGAACTTGAACTGGAACTGACACCCCAGGGGAAATGAGTCCTATAAATGGATGGAAGAAATAGCTGTGTAGGTATTCAAGTCAGGCATGAAGTATGAGTTTATAAACTAATAAGAATCTCTAATACTTGCTGACATTTTTCATCTGTCATAAGCAAAAGCAGCACCTTTGGAAACTAGACAACATGTTGCTTATACACACCTCCTGAATTCCGAGTCCCTCCACCCACAAGAAAACCTCTATTTATATGTATGTTTGGAGCTGTACTCACATATAATCATCTCTGGAAGATGATGGTTGCAATGAAAGGCATAGAGGAACTAGGAGATGGCGACATCTCCAAAAGCACCCATAGTGAGCTCAGAGGGCCCTCGCTGTTGAGCTTCTGCTAATAATCTATCCTCAGAAAACTTAGTCTCACTGGGCACCAATGGCTCATGCCTATAAACCTAGCTACTCAGGAGGCAGAGATCAAGAGGATTGCAGCTCAAAGCCAGTCCCAGGCAAAATAGTTCCCAAGACCCTATCTCAAAAAAAAAAAACCCTTCACCAAAAAGAGCTGGTGAAGTGGCTCAAAGTATAGGCCCTGAGTTCAAACCCCAGTACCGGGGGAAAAAAAAAAAAAGAAGAAGAAAGAAAACGTAAGTCTCAGGCCTCATCTTCATATATAACTTCTATGACACATTCAGGAAAATTTTTTGTCTGTATGATGTCTAGTTACTAACTACCCTAACTGAATTTCCCTTTTGGTCAGTTTTTCCTAGAAATGAGGGCACACAAGTCCAAGAGGTTTTTAAGTAAATTGTGAGTGCAGTTTGGGAGATAAGCTGGCAGAAGAAGCCGAAAAGGCCTCCCCCATGCAGCCCGCAGAGAGTGAAGCTCACCTGTGGAGGTGGCACCTGAGGTGCCCATGGGTTGACTGTTCATGTGTGTCTGCATGTGTGGGGGTGTGTAGGTGTCGTAACTCCTCCCGTTCACTGAAGGGCTGGTGGGCAGCATGCAGGAGTATGAAGAGGTCTGGCTGGGGACGGGGGGCTGCAGGAGAAAGGCAACGCTGTGGTTACTGAGAAGCACATCATACAACCACATGGCCAGGCTAGGCTCCCTCCTCCCCAGGACCTCTGCCAACAAGACTGGTCATTAACAATGCCTTCGTGAAAGGCACTGAACTTTCGTATGACAGATCTGAGACTGGGCTTCCACCTTCCACAGCCAGAGTAAGACTGTCTAGGCACCAAACATCTACAGCACTGTAAATTCAAACACATCCAGCTAGATGTTGGCACTGTCCATACATTAATAGTACTTTGTCCATTTTCTTCTTTTGCCTCTACCACATCATTAAAGAAACCGTAATGTGAGGGCCTCCATTAGAACACATCCCCTCTCCCTGCAAATCTGGATCAATTTGAGAACCCTGTGACCCCAAATCCCAGATCTCAAGCTTTAAGGCAGAGAGCAGTGGGAGGAACTCTTGGTGTAGGGACCTTGGGAACCCTTCACAGCTGGACTTATGAGATTAAAGATTCTTTTTAGAGGCAGATCCTAATGACCTCAGGTTAAAGTGGTCAGAAGTGCCAGTAAATATAACTCTCATCCACAGTCTGAGAATTAGCTGTGACTTCCTAATAAATTCAGAATCCCTGATTGAGTTTTATCCATAAAATTGGGTTGCTACCCTCTAAGTACTCAGGATGGTAATGTTGAGGAGATAAACCTTTCTAGTAACTAAATAAGAAATATGCAGAAACAGGGGCAAAACCCCTCTTGGAGCTCTCCTGGGGCAGCAAACCTGGGACGATTTAATAGAAGCCAGCAACAAGGGAGGTGACAGCACTACTGTGCAAATGGGAGAAATTTAACATCCCAGACCCCATGAGAGAAGGTTCAGAGGAAGACCCCACCCTTTACAAAATGGTTGAAGATTTTGTTCAACAGGATGAACAGATGGGCAGTTTTCCCCCAATTCCAAAATTCAAAGAGTAGTTTTCTCTGAACAGTAAAATTACTGGTTTGGTTTTCTTTGGATGCATGAACGTTTTTAACTGTATGAATGGCATAATCTTTAAGTCCATGTTTGAAAAAAATTGGTCCAACATACCTGCCTATGTATGGAAACAACCCTAATAAAACAGGAGTGTCTACTTAACAGTTTCAAATTATTCTCTCATATACATATTTTGTCATCTTCACAGAAACCTGGACATTGCTACTATGTATAAAACTGAACAAGACATTCAGTGGCCTTATTAAAGTTAAGTTCAAAGAGGCAAACAGGCCTAGAGGGCCCTGCCAGAATGTCAGCTTGCATTGGTTTCTAATTCCTACAACCATTTCTTCTAGGCAACCTGACTTCTGGAAAATTCCAAGGCAGTTATAGTAACACTAAGGAATGAGCTGTTAATCCCTTCATTTACATCAATTATAGTAAGGCCAAGAATACCCAGATGCAATGAAAATAAATGGAAATAATTCTTCTGAAGCTGCTTATCTAGCTGTTCCTATGTAGTCTGAAGACTGTGAAATAGTTATTTTGCTGTTTTCTGGATTCAAAGCCCAGCAAAAGATGTTCAGTGGAGAATAAACAATCTGGGTAACCCCAGAACTGTTTCCAGCAGGGGCTTATGCTGGCCAGTCCCATACCACACATCATCTCTAATTGTCATACAAATAGGAGACCTAGGAAAGCCACTAAAGAAGGCCCACTACAAGACAGATTGTTTTTTTCCCATCAAGAATCCATTCTCATTAGGCTTATGTCTATAACCTTAACTACTTGGGAGGCTGAGATCAGAAGGATCATAGTTTGAGGCCAGCCTGGGAGAGTAGTTTGCGAGACCCCATCTGCAAAGTAACCAGAGCAAATAGTGGAGGTGTTGCTCAAGCAATAGAGTGCCTGCTTTGCAAGCTTGAAGCCCTGAGTTCAAACCCTGTCCCATTAAAAAAAAAAAAAAAAAGAATCTTCCAGCCCCAAAAGTCCAGTCCACCCCTCCTGTCCTAACAACTTACATTACTAAGCGCTAACCTCGTCTTAGATCTGGCAATGCAGAAGCTGCTCAGTACTCTAGGCAAAATTAAGGACGGGCAGGTTATTGCACTGGTGGGTAGCATCAAGCTTTCCAGGCTGCTAGGAATGCCACACACTTATCACTTATGGACAGTACACACTAAGTTTCCAGCTAATACTTCCTATTACATTTTTATTTTCAGATATAAAGAAGGCTGGTAGAGTGACTCAAGTGGTAGAGTGACTGCCTAGCAAGCATGAGGCCCCAGGTTCAAACCCCAATACCACCAAAAAAAAGAGAAAAAAACCTAGCTTTTCTACCATGGTAAGTGTATCTCACTGTGTAAATGCAAACCCCATTTCCAATTCCTTTTTCTTCCGCACTAGCTTATCACATACACCCTAAATAATGCCCAGAGCGCATTTGCAGTCTAGATTTATCAATACTAACATATTCACATAAACGCAGATTGCATAACACTAATCTCTCATTATCTCATAACACACCAGTATTATTTTCACCTTTTTGGCACAAGTTTCACTGGTGGTATCTGAAAAATGCCTCACCACCACATTATCAAGCAGAATAACTTGACAGAGCAGGTCTGATGTTTGTTTTTGAAAGGCATGAATCAATCAAGTGAAGAAGACTGGATTGACTGTCTCAGACTTGACTGGTCAAGCCAATCACTGAGGTGAGACCGGCTCCCAAGAGGCAAGCCCAAGCCATTATCCATTGCTCCCTTCTACCACCCCCTGCATCAGGCAGCTGGCCTCACTTACTTGCATAGGCAGGTTGTTGGCCATGGTGAAGCTGGGCATGGGTGGCAGAGCACTGTATGTGTTTGTGAGGGCGGTGTCTGTTCGGCCCAACATGGAGCCAGATGTGAAGGAGGAAACTGCAGGGAGAGAGAAACAGCAGGTCATCGTGGTGAGAGTCAGAGCCCAGGGCAAACAGGTTTAAGCACATTTCTTGGTAGTGGTAGTATTTCAAGTTACCAGGCGTGCTGGGCTGTGGGATGGGTTGGTAGACACTGGTGCTGAAACTACTGCTGATGGGGATGTGACTAGGGGTGTTGCTAGCCTGTCTTCTCTGATTCCTCAGTTTCTCTTCTCTTCTCCATTTGGCCCGTCGATTAGAAAACCATACCTGGAAATTGATGAAACAGGTTAGCCCTATGCCTGCTTTCCACCTAGCCCCGCCCCTGGCACCTCCACTGCCACCCTTCTGGCCCCCTGGCAGCAGAGTATCAGCAGACCGAACCTGATACTAGTTACATAAATGAAACGCCTTTGTTTCCAGAAAAGCCAAGTGTTCTGAATAACAAAGCATGAAACCACATGGCCCCTGGGTACCTGTATCCTTGCTTCAGGTAGATCTATTTTGGCTGCTAGTCTTTCCCGGGCAAACACATCTGGATAATGGGTTCTCTCAAACTCTGGAAAAGCAAGTTATTGTACACGTTGTGTCAGTACTACACAAAATACGTTGACCAAGCCCTGCATCAAGCTGGTTCCTGTCTCCTATACCACACCCACACCCATCACCTCCAACCAATTCCCTTTAAAACAACTTGACTATGTGTGTTGACTGTGCTTGGAAGAACTTTCCCACCAGAATCAAGTTCAGTTTTCTTTGGAATGACATTCAGTGACCTGAAATAGCCAAATCATCATTTTTCCTTTGTAAATCAGACTTTTAGTCTCTGAATTATTGTTGTATGGAAAGAAGAAGAAAACACGGAAACACACATACACTTATAAAAGATGCCCAGAGTGTGTGTGTGGGGGGGGAGACAAAAAGAAAAAAAGAAATCTTTTCAGTCCTCTATGTAAAGGGCCCTAGCTAAATTTAGCTCTTTGTACTGAAGATGTGGCATTTACGCTGATTTACTGCTTCTGTACTTTGAAAAATTCCTCACCTTTCTCCAGGGCCTCAATCTGCTCTTGGGTAAAGGATGTTCTATTTCTTTGCAGCTTCCGCTTCAGCTGAAGTCGCATTTGAGCCTCATCTGAATCTTCTCCGTTGGAACTGATGGAGTTGGTATTCTCTCCCCCTCCTTCCTGCTGCTGGCAGCCATCTGGAACAAAAAGAACAGGACACTAAGAGAAATTTGGACTCACTGGGAGCCTCAAAAAGGGGCCTAGTATAGTCTACACTCCAAGAGCAGGATGGTCTGAGTGTCACCTAAATATTCCCAAGGTAACTGTCAGCCTTCTTTTCATGAATGACAACATTGGTTACCTGACCACCTTCTCCTCTCTCTCGTTTTTTTATGAAGAGATTTGACAACATGCTCAGTAAGTGCCATTTCTTTGAATGACAAAGCAAGCACTAAAGTTTCCAATCAAAATGATCTTTCCTAAGTAACCCTGACTTCTCAAATGCCTTTCCCAGTTCCCTTCCTTCCAGAATGTATCTACCTATGGCCATGTTGGGAAAATAGAAGAGTGATGTTCAAGATTTCAGCTGATCGCTAATCAGTAATTCCTATCTAATCAATTAGATGTTGATAGGTTTGTAGAAAATGCTATTAAGAAACCAAACCAAGCTTGTAATCTTTTTAAAAAAATATTTATCTAGTTTTTATTTGAATTCTGCACAGTCAATTTCATTTTAAAGGTTGTGAATTTAGAAGTGCTTGCATTGTTCCGCAGTTTTATTCAACTATTGTATGAGTGTGCTTTGCCTTGACACCTATTACGAGCACAGCTGTAATTATATCATCACCAAGAACAGGCTATAATTGCTGAAAATGGAATTTTATATTTAGATAAAAGGACTGTCCATTCTTTGTAATGTGTTGCACCAGAGAAAAGTAAGATTTCTTTTAAATTTTTAACGTGTAATTTTAAAAAAGAAATAGTAGAGAGTTCACTAACTAGCTAAATATGCTATGCTGCAGCTGAATCCTTGGCATATCATTTAAGTGGTACATTTTTAATTAGGGCATTTCCACCACTTTTAATGTAATTTCTATCATTAAACAGGGGGAAAGTTTTATTGTTTTTCCTTTGCTGCCTGGAGGGTGAGATGTGCACTTGGGCTAGCTGTCTCTGCCTTGCACCTTGCCTGTGAGGCCACAGCCTATTGGAAGGGAAGGCCTCCTGGCTGGGTTTGGGACCACTGCCAAATGGGCCCTGGTCCTGAGTCTCAAAGCCCCCAAGGGATATCAACAGGGACTGCTTCCCTTCAAGTCCTAGAAACTTGGCCAGTTGGGGGTGGGGGTGGGAGTGGGGCGGGGGAGGGGCAGGGGCCTCTAGGAGGCCTCGGTGGGAATCGACTTGGCCAGGAATATCATTTATAACCAAGAGACAATAGGCAGTGCCTTCAAAGAGTTCAGGGAATTGTGACAGGATCTAGTGGGATCTTTTCAGGAACTTTGAAATGTTTTAAAACCCCAACTTTCTCCCCCATTTAAACAGGCGGATTCATCGGCACTGGCCACCATATGGGCCCTTGGAGATCTATTGAGATGACCACCAACACTTGAATAGCGAGAGACTGCTTTTCAACGCGACACAATGCTCCGCGAGTAAGGGAAACTATTAAACTCCTGGGGCAGGAGCGTTGGCAAACTTTCGTGGGCAGAATTTTGAGGCCACAATGAGCACGGACAACAAAAGGATTCTCTTGAGGCGTGCAGCGGGCCACATTGTGTTACAAGAAGCCCAGTCAACAGACTTTTCAGCGAAGTGTGTTAACCCCTCTGCTCTGCTATCATTAATCACTGTCCGAGGAGCGGGCGCCTCAGTGCTATTTAGGGCGCTTGGCTGGGGGGGGAGCCGAAAGGGGGGGCAGGGCAGGGGGTGGAGGGAGGCAGGGAGGGTGGGTGGGGACCAGGGCTGGGTGTATGAGGAGGACCGAAGGAGGGAGGATGAAGAGGGGGTAGAGAGGGAAGGGAGAGAGTGGGGGACGGGTGGAGGAGAAGCAAAGAGAGATGAAGTAAGGAAGAGGGCTCCAAAGAGATGGAGGACAGAGAAGAATGGGGAGAGGGGAAAAAAGATAGGAGAGTCCAACGAGATAGAGGAAAAGGAAGACGAGGGAGGGTGAATCAGTAAACAGACGCGGTTCGCCTTCCGACTGTCTTGCAGTGCTTCAGAAAGGCGGGGGAGGGGAGGGCCACGGGGCAGCACGCACAAGTGTGTGCTAATTTACTGCCCCAAGCTTCTGGATAACTTTTCACAGTGTTTTTCAGGGGAAGAAATAAAGAGTGATTCCCCTCCCCTTTATTTTCGGCTTGATGAATGAAGAAGATGAGAAACAGCACTTTGGGGCCAACTAGAAGGGTCCATGGGTTATGGCTTTTGGAAAACACAAAAATCAGCGACCATCCCACTTGGGGAGGCGGGGGCCGCTGGGGAGAACACGGTCCCCACCTCCCTGGGATGGTCACTCAAGCCTCAGCCTTCCAGAAGGACTCTCCCCATCCCTTTCTGGCTGATTAAACAAAACTGCGGCGGTGGGGGAGTCTCTCTCAGAACCCAGCAGACAGCATTCTCTGTTCTCCTTTGCTTCTTTCTCTGACAGTCATCTAATTTTAAAGCATGGAGATTTATATTTATATTCTCTTCTCCAACACATACAGCTCACACACACTTACACATGCATACACGTGTTATGCGCCTAGGACCTGCACTGGCTGGAGAACTGACATTTGGGGGAGAAAAGTCAACCGGACAGAGGAACTAGATTTTAAATTTTAAAAAAAGAGGAATTCGAGCCAACTAGAAGAAACCCGTGCCTGTAGGATTCCTCCACGCCCCTACAAAGCGAGTGTGCGCCCCTGAAAATCTGTTTGCTGCTTTCTAAAGGTAGTAACTGTTTGCAGCCAGGCAGTGAGAGTAGAGAGGGCTGGGCACCTTTTCTTCCCCGCCCCCCGCCCCCCGCCCCCCGCAGTGGATTTACCTTCCAACCCTTAAACCTTTTAACAAAATAAAACTAGAAGTCGGATCTCAATCCCCCAATGATAAACCTAAGTGGTAGACAATTAAGATATCTTCTTTAAAAGGCGCCCCCTCGGAGCCGCGCAAAGAAGGCGCCTTCAATGTGGCCGTCCACCTTCAGCCTAATCCGTGAGAAGGCGAGTGAAAGCGCCTCCCATTATCCCAGCCCCGGGACCATCTGACGCTGGGGATAGGATTTGTTTCCTGGAAGAAGGAGAAGAGAGGAGGGGTGGGGGGGGGAGACGCTGGGAAATAAAATCATTCCTTAGTTTCTTAGTGTCTAAATCAGTGAGGCGGAAAACAAGCAAGAAAAGATAGCAACCGGGTTGCGGCACCTTTTCAGCTCCGGAGCGCGGATCAAAACATTGTAGCATCTGTTGAAAGAGAGACTGACTAAATCCTATAGAGGGCCTGGGTATTATGGGGGTGGGGGCGAGGGGAGGAGATAAGAAAAAGTGTCTCCGTGATCCCTAAAACCACCAAATCGCTGGAGAATTGGGGCTGGATAGAGTTGTCTGTTGTTGTTGTCAGCCCACGTCGTCACGATTTTATTCACGGCCGCATGGCACTGATCAGATGGAAACCATATTTGTCTCCCTCTGAGACCTAACCTCGCCTTATGCTTTCGGAGTAATGGACTCTTTAAAACCTAACATCAGCTTCCCGGGACGGGAAAGGGGGCCAGAAAGGGGGCCAGGGAGGGAGAGGGACCTTCTTAGCGCCAAAAGACCGAAGGATTCCCCAGAACGCGAGCCGCAACTCGTCACCGACGCCCGCGGCCCCCACGCCCGCGGCTCTGCTAAGCTCGGTTCGCGCCACGGGTTCTCCCCATGCAACCCGGGCGGTGGCCGGGAGCCTGCGGAAGAATGCACTTGAGCTGGGGGCCATGGGGTGGGGAGAGGACGGCGTGGACGTGCGGGCAGTCGAAGACCCAGAAATCTCTAGCATCTAGGCGCCTAAAAGTTAAGTGCCTGGACTAGCGCCACCTCCTGCCCCAACTGTCACCACCAGGCCCCTGCGGTTATGTTCTCGATTCCCACCCTCCCCTTCTCTGGGACGAATTCTACCCAAATCGGGCGCCACCTCTGGTGGAAGCTACTGCCCCTCGACTTCTGTACCGGCTCCTGGAATCAGGAAGGGGGTGTCCAGTTCCCACGCCCCCAGCAAACGTGAGCCTTCGCGCAGGGAAGCCCTGGGGTAGAGGCTGTGTACTCTGCTCTCCCAGGCCTGGGCAACTGCACCCTGCGCCCTCCCCAGGAACTCTTGGTAGGGGAGGGGTCAGCAAGACTTCAGATTGCTGGGGGCCGAGGGATGGACATGGTGGACGGTCGCTAGTGCGAAGTTCAAGCGTCACTTGGATGTGTCCAATGCGCCCACGTGGGGATCCTACAGTTTCAGAGGTCAAGCGGGGTGGGGTAGTCTAGACCCCGCTGGGTCACTCACTGGTCGAGGCCGCGGGTTCGAGGCCCGCGAGGGCGGGGTCGCGCAGGGGAGCTGGGCCCTGAGCGTCAGGAGGCGTCTGCTCGCCAAGCGGCCGCGCTGGGAAACAAGAAGCGAGAGCTTTGCTCCCTATCTTCCCAGTGTCCGTCCTATATTGTTTTCTGCTCTTAAAACTGACATGTCTAATTGGCAATTGGTGCCGAATCGTGTCCAGAGGTCTCTTGTGGAACATTTCTACAGCTGTCTCCTTCAACTAGACGCTTATTCATGTCGCCTTAATGAGAAACAAAACGTTCTCTAATGAGCAATTACAGAGCGACAGGATTGTTCCCATAACAAATTCTTGCGAGTGACAGAAGCATCCTTTGTACCAGATATTTCGCATACTGTTACCGATTTTCCCTTCTCTAGCCTTGCTCGGTGGAGGCGCGGGACCCGCAGAGCCGATCCGAGCGCACGGACGCGCGGGCAGCCCAGTAGCCATCCCTGCGCGGCCACCCCCGGCCCAGAGCCCCCAGGCTCCGTCGTGCTCCCGGGAGTGAGACACCACGTCCCATTATCCCGCATATTATCTCCTTGTCACGAGGACAACAAATACCGATTAATCTTCCGAGTAAACTGTTTCCTATTCTTGACCAAGCTACCTCGGTGCGAGGGGAAAGAGGAAAGCTAATGGACCCCCTTCCACCACCCGTTCCTCTTCATCCATCCCTTCTCACAGATCCTGCCTGGGACTTTGTAGGTCCATTCCTCCTTCCTGCCCCAATGCTGGTGGGCACCCTGCAGTCACCCCTTCTAACTAGTCACCACCTACAGAGAGTGAGAACTGGGGTCCCAAAAGGGTGAAGAGGGGATGAGTAAGGGTCTTGAGCCGTGATTTAGCTTGGAGACCACCACTTCCTGCTCCCTATCCTCCACTCGGCCCTGCATGGCTGTCTCAAAGTCACATAATTTGTCAATTACAGCGAAAAGCAAAATGATACAATTATGTTTACCTCGCAGTCTGTCAGTGTGTTAACTTGTCACACTTCTACAGCAAAGGGGCTCTCTGTGCATTTTAATGTCAACTTTGAATAGGGCACCATGCCGGCTTGCTCTTACTTACACACACACACACACACACACACACACCACCTTCATTCTACTCTTGACATACATAGCCCTCACATTCCCAAGATGGTTCAACAAACACCACCTACACCAAAAGCTACATACAACCAAGTCCATGTGGTCCAGGCCTTCCAAGGCAGTCCCCTACTATATCCTCTAGGCACAGAAGAGGGAAATGGTGGGGGTGAAGAGACAGGTATGGCGAACTGGGAGGATGGCGGCTTGGGTTTTACCTTGGGTAGGTTGTCCTGGCACCGAAGTCCCCGGATACCAACCAGGGCGGGTGCCCCAGCTTCCGGTCTGCCCGTTCAACATCCTTAGTTTATCATACATGCCGTCTGCGCCCATCTGTTGCTTTTCGCTAGCCAGGTTGCGAAGAACTCTGTTTATTGATGACACCTGCAAATCAAATCAAAAATCAAACCAAATGGCAGCATCTCCTGAAGACACAGTCACCGGTCTTAAGTCTCCATCTCAGTTTGCCCACCACTTTAAAGAATGGCTCTCAACACGTTAAAAACAAAAACAAAACTTCCAGCCGCCCTGACATAGTGAATGGATTTGCAGCTACATCATGGAAAGAATGGTAGCATCATTTTGGGCAAGGTAACTGAGTTGGGTTATAATGTGGGGCACTTGGGAGGAGAAAGGAGGTCTTTCACCTTTTCTAGGTGTCTCGAGTGACCTAACTCACAGGGTTCCTTTGCTTTGTTTAAAGATTTCCTGCTAAAAGATTTAGTTTAGAGATTTCTTTCATTTTATTTGGTTTTATACTAGAGCATATATGGATGTATGATGTCTGAAAGAAGGTTCAGGCAGGTGCCTTTGGGGAAGCTAGAATCTGGTTTTCATCTCATTTTCCTTCTTGATTCAAGTGCCTTTCTCCAGCACCTCTGCCCTGTGGTTTGCAGCATGCAAATGAAGTGACCAAATCCCCACATTTGACTCCCATTTTCCAGACGGTCAATATCCCCAAGTAGAGAGGAGACACGTGTGAATCTTGAATTGGAGAAGAGACAGTGACAGAGAGACACTGGGAGGGAGGAGAGAGAGAGGAGATGATAAAAGGTAATAAAGACGGGAGGAAGACAGCGTGGATCTTAGCACAGGGGAGACGAATGTTCTCAGTGAACTTACACTGGGTATGTTATCGTTGGTACAGACCCCCTCGGACAATAATCTGTCTCGGATTTCCCAAGCAAAGATGGACGGGCACTCCCGCTTATACTGGGCTATTTTGCTTACAACTTCTGGAGTCGCTACTCTCGGCTTACTACCACCGATTGCCCTGGGTCTGATGGAGCCAGTCTCGTAATACCTGCCCAGAATTTTACTCACACATCCGTTGGACACCTGCATAGGGGAAGTGGACAGAAAATCACATTATTAATAATTTCAAGACAAAAATAAAATTGTTTAAGTATGCATTAAACAATGACAAGCTTACGTTTTGATTGTCCAGCACCTGGACTTTTGCATCTGCATGGGTCTATAACACAAAAATATACCTTCAATGGTACGAGAACTTACTGTAGAGAGCTTTTTTTCTTAAAATTACAATTGGAGCCCTAAAAACTACAAATATGATGACACGTTCAAACATTTTGTACTAAAAAAAAGAATTCAAAAAAATTTTTTAAACTGTTTTTTCCTAAACACTGAAGATGCATCAAAACGAAGTCAGATTAATTGTTTTTGTGCTGACCTTGCTTAAAGTGGTATTGTGTTTTAAAGAGCAAAGGGGAAAAATAAACTGAACTTTAACTTTTTTTCTTAAAAATATGCCCAGATGAGCAAATGTGAGTTAGAGAGGGGTAAATAGCATTTGCCTTTAAAAATCTATATATATTCTTCATAAGTATGAAGAATGCAAACAAATCTCTCAAAATCCGAGATAAGCATGGGATGAGTAGGGAGATATAACTCAGCTCCCTACAGTTCATAAACTGTTACCACAACGAATGTCTTTATCAAATGAAAACAGATTTTTTAAAAATCACACACAATTTTTTTCTTAGCAGATGAATTATCTCATGTAACTGGCTCAGGTTGAAAGAGGTAGGGAAGGATGGTAGAAGGAGAGGGGAAAGCTGGAAGGTAAGGGATTGGGGTGGGTGAGGTGGGATCCATAATTAGCAGCGTTTACAGTAAGAGATGTAGAGAGGGCGCTGATAGTGGAGGGCCGCGGGGGGCGGCGAATGGGGCGGCGCCGGGAGGATCACCTGCAGAATTCGTGAAATGTCGCACGGCCGGGCCCCGCTGTGAGCTAGCTCTACGATCTTCTGCCGGGTGGAGTCCGGCAGTGGCCGCCCGTTGACAAAGACACCACCGAGCTGATTCACTCCGCTGTGACCTGAGGAAAGGAAGAGGAGAGGAAAGAAGAAAGGAGAGGACAGAAGAACAGAGAAAAAGGAAGACGAGGAGAGCAAGAAGAAGAAAAAGGAGGGGGGAGGAGAAGGAAGAAGAAGAAAGAGGAGGAGGAGGAGGAGGAGGAGAAGGAGAAAGAAAGAGGAGGAGAAAGAAAAAAGAGAAAGGAGAACCACAATGCATCCTCAGCTCCCTGCCAACCTGTGCCAACTTCAGTGATCAGGTCCTTGGTATCTATCATAAAACCTAAGACAACAGGACCACCAGCGGTGCAAGGCACTGGGCGGCCCAGCCCCAAATACAGTCTGCTCCAGCCACCTGGACTGCTGAAGCTCCAGAGTGAGACCAGGATAAGGAACAAGAACACATGCCCCACTACGCCATCACCCAGCAGTGCCCCCAGCTCACTTCCCTTGTCATAAGCACGCCAGCCGCCTTAGACCCACAAGGTGCAAACAACTGATTCTAAAAGTCTCCTCCCAAAGACTCCCACTGAGTGTCTCCCCAAACCTGGCTTCTACAGTGCCCACACTGAAGTCTCTGCCTTGTTGGAACAGTGAAAGCAAATCCCACAGCCCTGCACAGCTCGGTTGGACTCTGAAGTCCGGAAACATTTGCGTCATGATCTTAAACTCTGGCGAGGGCGCTGGCACACACAGGGTTTTGGTTTTTTGTTTTGTTTTGTTTTTTAATAGAAGGAAAGGGCGAGGAGTAAAGTAGAACCAGAGAACAAATTTATAGCTAGTGAACCCCAGACTGGGTTTCAGCGCCACCACCGCAGGCATTAGGGTCAGAACCCGCGCCCAGCAGAGTGGTCCGCCTGCCGCAAGTGGGGCGGAGAGCCAGAGTCTTCGTACCCGCCACTTCCGCAGCTGAACTCCGCCCTCCCCATCAGCCAAGGACAGATATTAGCAAAAATCAAAACCAGAAAATGAAAAGAAAAGACCCCATCACAGTGTCCACCATCCCTCCTTTATCTTGTAACTCACAACCTCATCCCATTGTCTGGTCTTAGGGAAAAGGGCGAGGGAGTGAGCACCGCCCTGTATCCCCCCCTCCTCAGAAACCAAAGACACACAAATAAAGCCAGTTCCCAATTTCCTCTTCCTCAAAAATCTCCAACCTGCAGCCCGACTCTACAGGGCAGCCCTCCCAGGAGAAGACGTGGCTCCCTGCTCGGCTCTCCTCTCCTCTCCTCTCCTCTCTTCTCTCTTCTCCTTGGAGCCTCCTGATAAATTGACTCCAGGAGCCTCAGCTTCTTAGCAATAAATAAGCTCCAAATATAGAAGAGGGGGGAAAATATGACGAGCCTCTCTGACATTTGTCTTTAAAATAAAACTAGCTGCACGTCAAGTTTGAGCTTAATTTCTGGAAATAGGCGGAAGTCGCTCCGGATCATGCATGGAAGGCTAATTGAAAAGATCAGTCGGGGCGCTTGTGGCAGCCTTGTCACTTTGTGACAGTGCTCCGCTCCGGGAAATTGCATCGTCACGACAAACGGGACCGTGATAAAACGACCCTTTCCGTCCCTATTTGTAGATCACTCAGACGAGATTGAACTGCACTCGTTTCCCCTTCGAGGGGAGCCGCGTTTTCAGGGTAGCCCAGGGCTTGGGACTTGGGGGGGGCTCACCGAGGGAGGGGGCAGAGCCTCAACTCGATGAGAAGTGACAGGCGTTTGGGGATCTGGGCTCCAGCCGGAGCCAGCGCAAGCGAGGACATTGCGGGGGACACAGCTTCTCCAACAGAGCAAGGCCTACCTGCCTACCCCGTGCTTGCGGTCTCTCCTAAATTCCCTTTATTGCCTTGCTTTGCTTCCCAAGTCCCACCTAACCTCTCCAGCTACCGAGTCCCATCCCTGGGGAAAGGGGCTCTCCCAGAAAAAGAAAGGCTGTCCAAACTTCACACATAACATAGCCAGTGCAATTCCCAGCCTACGAATGTCAAGGCGGGAGAAGCCACCTAATCCTAAACCTCCCTTCTTCTCCCCCATCGCAAAAATAACGTGTTCGCCACCTCCGCAGCTACTGCGGACGGGTGCGGGCCCAGGAGACGCCAGGTCCAGGGCGCCTCTGCCAGCATCGAAATGGCAGCGAGGAAGCGCAGCTTTACATTCCCCTTCAGAGGTTAAGCCTCAATCATTGTGTCCCTTCCCTAGGGACGGCTGGCGCTCTCGCCCAGTGGCGATGATTATGCGCCTAGAATTCGACCGCGAAGCATCTAATAGGAAAACATATGGTGTCAATTTGGATGCTCCGCGCCTCGCGCACACCCGGGAATGAGCCGCACAAAGCCCTGCGGGCCGGCCCGCGACCCCGTGCCCCTATGGGCCCGCCAGCCAGGCCGCAGCGGCAATCGCTCAGGGCTGTGCGCCTTGGCCCACCGGAGAACCTGCGGCTGGGGAGGCTGAGCTCCAGGGGGACAACCCAGCCTCCCCAGTCCTGGCCAAAGGCATTCGCCTCGCCAAGGCGGGGCCTCCGGCCAAACCCCGGGGTCTGGCAGGTTCTGCACAGACTTGCCGCAAAGAAAGCTTGCACCTTTGTGCCCTTTCCTGAACTTCGCGCCCACCCACCCACCCACCTCTGCGGCACCAGGTGGCGACCAGCTTCTCCAGAACACATGGGTCTGGCACTGAAGACCCTCTTAAATTTGTGTGAGTGGTCAAGGGCTGGTTGCTAGAAGACCTAGGCCTCTCCACACTCTGAAAAACAGTTGTGCCCTTAAGCCCTGCGCAGACTCCAAACCTCAACTGGGCCTAGTTTCACTGGGCCTTCAGGCTACTAGGCCTGAATTCCAGGCCTAGTCGTGTCACACACCAGCACCCACAGACTGAGCCAGAAAGGTGGGTCAGGCCAGGGCGCCTGGGCAGAGGAAAGAAGGGAGGCACAAACGCTGGACAATCAAAGGCACCGTGGGCCTGGGACAACCAGAACCTACGCAGCTGCAGGGCTTTTCCAATTGCTGGGGCAGCCTCCATGCTCTACCTTCACCCAGTGAGCCCTACTCTCTCCCTCGCCCTGTAACAGCTCCACCACGCGGTCTACACCCCCCACCCCGCTACAGGCCTGGGCATTCGGCTCCCCTTCCCTCCTAGGCCCATAGCTGGGGTGGGGAGGGGAGGAGCTGCCCGAAGAGTAACTAGGGGAGGGAAGCCCCCCCTCCATACCCCCTTCCTCCCTACCCTCACCCCCCGCCCCGCGCCCTGTCGGTGGAGACGTTTCAGTCTTGGCTAAACCCAAAGGGGCCTCCTCCTTCTCCGCGCAACCAGGAGAAGCAGTCGCCCCGCCCTGTGCAGCCCAGCCCCTCTCCCTGGGGTCAGAGCCCGGGCAGGGGCGGGGAGGGGGGTGTGAGTTACAGGATTTGGGGGGATGGGGTTTCTCTACCGCTGCAAGGAAGACTCCGGCGGGCTGTTCTGTAGGGCCCAGCCCCCGAGCTTCTAGGATTGAGTACAGCAGAACCCCTCTTGGGCTATTACTTGGCGCCGGGGGGGACAGGGGGTGCAGCCGCCGCAGGTGCCCGGGCCTTTTTCCTCCGGCCAGGCGACCTGGCCAGCGCGGGTGCCCAGAGCCTCTGCGCCCTCCCCTGACCCGTGGTTCCTCGCTGCTTCCAGCCCGAAGTCAGCAAAAGACCTGAAGCACTTACTGTTCTGCATGGTGGCGCTGGCTGGGGGCCGCGGGGTCCCACGGGGTTCGAATATGGGGCTCTGTTAGCAAGAAAACAGGAGTTAATCCCGGGCGCTGCCTAACTCCCACCAAGGAGGACCTGGGGCCTGGACAAGAGAATCCTCCCTTTTTTAAAGAAAGTGATCCAGTCAACCGCTTGGGGCGATCTGAGGGTCATCTAGCTCTACCCTCCAGTGCAAGCAAAATCAACCCTTTGGGCTTCAAATAAGGTATTACAATATTCCCAATCAGTTTATATCCAACCATTTAGTAGTTAACCCTTTAATCGGAAGAAATGATGACCCGGTTTTGATTTTTTCCATCTGAACTACAGTGAAGTATCCTGAAATAGTTTGTTGCAGTTCTTTTAGGTTTTGAAACCCAAAAGCAACATCGCAGAACTTGCCTGAAATCTGTGATGTCTGTCCACTCTTAGAATAAAAGGCCTCACACATCTGCGCGCCCCTAGTTAAAGTCTTCCCCCTAAGACAAAACAGAGGGAGAGAAAGGTTTGTCAATGTGGCTCAGAAGCACAGGAAGATGAGCTCTGTGAGGCCCTCTCAGTGCAAGACATGCATTTAGGGCTCATTCTGCCATGAAACCCTAAGTCCCCGCATGGCACCCACGCTTCCAGGGCCCCTCCCACAGCAATCTCAACTCTTTGGGAAAGGCTGCTCTGGCCTGGCTTGGGAGAGTTGGAGAATCTGCCCAGTTGGAGTCCCACTTTGCAAAAATCAAGAACCAGGGAAAAGGGAAAGGATAACTAGGGAACCACCAGTGGAAAAAGGAACAGAGTCAGGAACTGGGATAAGGAAAAGCCTAATACCTGAAGTTTAGAGGTAAGAGACCGCCAAAAACTTAGTGGTGCCCAAGGGCAGGTTGGACAGTCTGGGGGAGCTGCCTCCTTTGGAAAGGAATTTCACCCCCTCCGTTGTCCAAAGGCTCCTAGAACTTGTCTGGTTATTCCTTTAGCCTTCATTCCCCCCAAAACCTTCCCAGTCAACACCCCCCTCTCTATCTCCCAGACCTTCTGGGACTTTGCAAGTGGTGAGCCCAACTTTTTTCCCCAAACCTCATTTATTGTGATTAACTTCTCTTTTGGCGTTTAGATCTTCCCCCCTTTCACTGTACTGTGACACACGCTATCTACCTCGCCTCACTGCTTTAAAAAGTATGAACAGGAGGGGGTGAGCGTGGTCGACAAAGCCTACAGACAGTGAACAATGGCTTCTATTCTCTGGCTTTCCCCGAACCCAAAGAGCAAAACCAAGACTCCCTAACCAGCAACATAGCTTCCAACCAAACCTACCAACAACTCACCAACTCACAAAGGGAACAGGACTCTTCCCATTTTGTAAGTCCTGACCCAGTGCAGGTCCCCCAAGGCTCATCCTCCACCACCCCCTCCCTACCTTCCCCTAAAATGAAGGTTCTTGGGAGGTGAAGAAAATAGAAAAGTAATTTCTTGTTACAAATATCTGGAGGTAATTGTGTTACTGGTGTGAGTTGTTAGGGGCTGTAAAAAGATACAAGGGCACCGTGGGGCGCTCAATTGGGAAGGGAGAGTTACAATAAAGAGCTCATTCAAGAGGTTTGCTCCCCAAAAAAGAGGTAAAATAAAATAGTCACAGCATCTCTCTCATCATCATCATCATTCTTTTTTCCTGTTTTGTCTGTGATGGTTATTAATTTTGCCTGTCTGCAAGCAAAGCCTCCTAACAAGTACATTTTCCCCTCAAGGCCTTTTATGATCTAATTTTTAACTAGCAGGGAGGCAACTTAAATCCATTAAAATGAACCTAAGATGAGAACTTTTTCTCAGCATCAATTGTGACCTAGTAAATACTGGCCACAGCAGAGGGTTGGCTCTTTAACACCTCCCTCCTGTCTCTCAGTCCCCAACTCCACAGCCATGCCGGGAGCAGGCAGAACTCCCAACTCCAACGGGAATATCCCTCCCTCCTATGTGAGACTCAAGCAGCAAAAGGTAGCAGGTGGGGAGAGAGGGAGTGGAATTCTGCTCGGAGGGGTAAAACTTCCTGAACTGCACTCTGAAACCCACCCTGCACACAATCACAATCGCATGCCCCATCGAAGCTAGTACCTTCCTGATGCCATTTTTTAAAATTGCCTAGCTTATCCCTGAAAGGCCTAGCTGATTAATTTTCCAAGCAGCTGGGAAGGTGATAGCATTTCAAGTTCCGGTTCTGCTCCATTCCCACCCCCCACTCGGCTAAGAAGCTATCTAATTACTTAAGTAATCGTTAACACTTAGTGCAAAAGCAACCCTGGAAGCCCGGCACACCGACTCCCGGAAGCAGTGCTGTTCTCAGAGAGGCCAGACCCCAGGCCTCAGTCCAAGGCCCCCAGCCCCGCCTGGACCTTTGTAAGGCCTTGGCGGAGCCACAGACCCACATCTAGAATGAGGGAGTCTTCAGAAGTCTTAACGTCCACAGACCACTGGACCACTGCCCCCTCCCCCCATAACCTCAGCTTTCAAATACTGCTGTTGTTTTAACGACTCAATTCTCAAAATTCATTCCCAAACTCCTTAGCTGGAGTGAAGGGGAGAACTCACTTATGGCCCTCCTGACCCCCCCTCCCACCGCCATCGAGTAATTAGCAATTAGGATGACAAAATTTTACTCTCTAGGGCCAAATAAGATAACAACAAATCAAACTGCCTTCAGACATATGCAAAGGTCACCAACTATTAAAAAAAAAAAAAAGTCATGTCAACGGCAACAGCTATTATTTCTCCTCGGTAAACTTGCCAGGCTTTTGAGCGCTTTGCTTTTTATTCCATTTTCTGCTCCTACCCCCTCTTCCACCTTCCCAAGTTCTACTTAAACATCCAAAATGGCTTAGAAAGTTTGAGAGAGCATGCGGGAAAGAGAAAGAAAGAAAATCACGTTCACTTTGTTTTTAAACTTTCCAGAAATCATCATGACTGAAGGGCCAGGTTTTAGCACTCGAAAAAGAAAGCATTTCCACTTGAAATTCAACTCCGTTTCCTCCAATTACACTTGCTAAAATTCAGGGCTATTATGGCGCAAGGAGACTGAGAAAAATCTGCACAGGGAAAGAGGCAACAACTTTACGAACTTTGAAAAGGCACCTTTCCTCCTGGGGTCTTAGAATCCAAAAGCTCTTAAACTACTCAGACTAATTAGTTGGGAGAGGATGTGATCAGACGAGAAAAAAAACCAATGCTTTCATATAGATTTTTTTTTAAGGCCACACAAAGAAAAAATCAGGGAATTCAGAGTACAAAAAAAAAGCAAACTATCTAGCTCGAAACTTGTTGAAATGGCAGTACCCAAAGACAAGGACAAATACCCACCGATTGCTGGGGCGCCGAGGGACAGGGTACACCCTAACTTTGGCAGGGCGGGGAGGGGGGGCGGGGAGAGGGTTGGGGAAAGCCCCGGTAGCGGAGAGTTTGCAAGTCCGAGCTCGGCGCTCAAGTTGAGCTGGAGGCGACAGCCTGGGGGCTTGATGGCAGCTGACAGTCCTCCAGCTCGGCTCCGAGCTCCCTCGGAGCGCGCGTCCCACGGCCTCGGCCTGGTGGCTTCCTTCCCGGCTGGCTCGCGCTCGCTCGCGGCTTTTCTCTGTCGCCAGCCTCGCCGATGGAATCCGTTCCGGCCGGCGGCGGGCGTGATGCCCCCTTGGCGCTCGAGTGCCACGGGCTCTTCGGTGCTAGAGCCGAAAGCCGCACAAAGCCTGAGGGCGGGAGGGCAGCGGCGCGGCGATCCGGCTCCCTCGGCGCTCCCTCGCCGCGCCCGCTCTCTGCGCGTTCGCTGGGCCCCCGGCTGGACAAAGCAGCGGCGGTAGCTGGTCTCTGCGGCCGTCTCCTGGCCTTGGGTACCACAGAGCCTCTTGATCCTCTCCCGCCGGCCGGGAGCATTCGGCGATGCTGGGGCCGAGAGCCGCGCCTGGAGCCTCGGTTCTTCCTGCGAGCTCAACCCGCACTGGCGCTGGTGCTGAGCCGGTCGCCCGGCCCGATTCCTGCGTGGCTCCCGCTCGCGGGCAGTCGCCCTCCGACACGGGCTTTCGCTGGAAGTAGAAAGTTTGGGCTCCTGCGTGGAAACTTCTCTGGCCCAACTCTCCCGGCGTAGCAGTGGGGGAGGGGACCGGCGAGAGGGGAGGAAGGAAGGGGGGAGGTAGAGGGAGACCTGCCTGAATATTGCAATCAAAATAAAGCGAGAAGAAAGAAGCGGACTCACCTTGATGAGGCATCCTCGCTCGTTGTCAAAGCTCCTGTCAAGAGTTTTGTTTGGTTGGGGTTTTTTGGTTTTTGGTTTTTGGGGGGTTTGTTTTTCTGTTGTTGTTACTTAAAGACCACAACGGTTTGAAATGACGGTGTTTTAAAGGAGTTGCTCGTATGAGTTTGGTCCACGCACGCTGCTGGGTTGGTGTGTAAGAGCAATTCTCAGATCCCTGGGAAGGAGACAGAGATTGACAATAAAATGGACTGTCAGCGGCTGGAGAGAGAGAGATAAAGAGTGTGGGTGAGGGAAGTGGCTGCAGCCAGCACACCTATGCTGATTGGTGATGGCTCAAGTGTGTTAATGTGTGTGTGCCGGCGCCCGGCCTCGCCTCCACCGCTCCTCACTGGCCCATTAGCGAAGCCTGACCTCTGTCATCATCCTCCAGCAAAACACTTCCTCCTGCGCCTGAACCAGAGCGGGAAATGAGGCCGAGCCACGGTTCGCTTTTCAAACCCACTAATCACTCCGCAACATGCAAATGCACCGCTCGCTCCCACACAAAATATTGCTTTATGCAAAGCAGCGCCGGGGCTTCGCGCCAGCCGATTGGATGCTCCCTCTCCCTGCCTGGTGCAATTGGTCCGTTTGTTTGAATATGAATACACTTGTTTTCGGCTCCGCGGGTGGGTCCCGGCTCCTCTCCCCAGCGCTGGGCCCCCGCTCCCGGGCTCTGGCGCTCGCCTACATCTCCCAGTTCCGCGCGCACCGGGAGCAAACACCTCCAGCATTGCGGCCGTGAACTTGATCGGTCGAGTGGAGGCCTCTGGGCTGGGAGTCGAGCTCCCCCTGGGTCACCCCAAGCTGGGCTCAGGACTCCCAGCCCACGGAGGTAGCAAGTTTCTGCAGCTCTGCTCTGTCCTTTCTTGCCAAATCCAGTGCACTGTGGCCTCCTGCCCCGCCCCCGTCCACCTTCCCCTCCAGAGCCTACCCCATCCTGGCCTTGGTCTCAGGACACACAGCACCCAAGCCCACCTGGCCTCTAGGAATAGACAAGGGGCGGGAGCCTCCCTGGGTCCTGGCTGCCCCACTCCAGCCGCGGTGGCTCAGCGAAGCCTAGGCCCGAAGGAGGCCTTCAGGCCCAGAACTCAGCGACATCGGCGGCCTCCCCAGCCCAGGCCTCCCTGGCCTGCCCGTCTCCCCTCCCCACCCCCGCTCCCCTCGCCCTTTCTTCTCTTCTTTCTCCTTTCGGAAGCCGCGGTGCGCAGCGAAGCGGAGGCGCAGCCCGGGCTGGAGAGGCCCGAGTAAACACGCCACTTACTTTGTGTACAGAGGATTCTTGTGAAAAGCCCTGAAGAGTCCTCACCAAACACTCACCAACTTCTCCCACGTGCCATTTGTTGACTAAGTGCGGCTGCTTTTCCAGGCGCCGGAAAGGAGGGGAAGCGAGGGGAAGATAAGAGAGGAGGGGGAGTGGTGGAAGCCTGGGGGGTGGGGGGCGACCAATGCTGGGAGAGATTCTGCTGTGTGTGTCCCCGCCGGCGCTCTTGGTATATCTGCGTGTGTCACCGGTTATCTGGGTGGTGCGGTGTCCGCACCACGACTCCCTCTCCTGGGACAGTCCAGTCCACGGAGGTTGCTCCCGTTCAGCTGTTGCCAGAAAACCAGGGAGGAAAGTAAGTAAATGGCTTTTCTCTTCTGACCACACACCAGAAGTCCATTTGTTGAATGCCGGACGATTAGGATACACCTCAGTACACTCCAAAGGCGTCCCTCGGAGCCCGCAGTTTAGGTGACAGAGGAGAGAGCGGCTGCCTTGAGCTGCACTGTCCGGAGCTCCTTTGAAGCGTGTGGGCCTTGGAGCGGGAAGATGAAGGCCTGGGATTGGGGGACACACCCCAGAAACTGGCAAAGGGAAATGGGGTTGGGAAAGCTGAGGAAAGGAGGACGAAAATGAAGCTGCCGCCTGGGACACTTGGCTCTTCCTGACTTAGGACAAGTGCTGAAAGTCAGAGCTCATCAATAAAGTCTGAGCATCCTGATCTGGCCTCTGACAGGCCATGCCACCGAAGCCCCTTGGGAGCCTTAACGGTGCGGACGCTGCAGACTGCCTAGGGCCTCTGGGCCTGGTGTGTGCCTCGCACGCTTGGCCCTGCCTGGGACCCAGCAACGCAGCTACCAAGGAGCCTTGGCAGAGTTCCGGGGGAGCAGAGGCCTCCCCCGCCCGAGCCAGAGTTGGATTCGCACAACCGGGCGGCCTGGAGAGGGTGGCCGGCTCTTGTCCTTTCTGGAGGCCCAGGAGCACTCGCGTAGAGCGGGGAGGAAACCCGGGGCCAGAGGCGAAGGAGGTGGTACGGTGCCGGGTCCGCGGCCTCCTGGATGAGATTTCGTAGGACCGCGACTTTCGGAGGATCCGTGGAAGTGGGGCAGTTGGGTCCCGATGCCAGACCAGCGACAGTCTGCGTGCTCTTCCTCTCCCTTTTTGCTTCTCAAGCGAGCGTTAAAGAAGCATGAGCGGAGAAGGGGGAAAAAGGTCCAGTGACTCTGTCCGAACAGGAGGCGAATATCATTTTTACAACCTCTCAATTAGCAACCGAGTGGATTAGCACCTTCTTAAGCTTTGCCTAAGAAAGAAGCAGCCATAATCTTTTTGCTATTTCCCCCTAGGGCACTGGCTCTTTGAATCAGCTCCTTCTCCCACCCCCCAACCCCCACCTCATCTCGGAGAAAAGTTTTAACAAAAAATCAGAAGAGGCGAGGAGCGGGGAGTGAATACCACTGACGTCATTGGGTGGGATGTGGGCTCAGGGAAAGACTCTTGGAAACTCCTCTGCACAAACAAGAAACAAAAAGGACTTGGCTGCTTCCAATGTGTCAATATTTGGGGGAGGGGGTGAGCTCAGCCCCCGAAGGAGGCAGAGTTTTCAAAGTTTAAGGAGAAAGGGGTGAGAGCGAGATTTCCTTGCTCTTTCTGGGTTGGTCTCTAGGAGGAGGGGAAGCTGTTCTGCCCTGTGAGGATCCTCACTCCCAGTTTCAACTACCTGCTGTGGGTGCGACTTGACCTGGGAGAAGGGGGGCGGGGGTTGCGGCTGGGACGGAGGTGCCGGGCGCCCTGTCCAGAGGTGTCCACAAAATTGAGATCATTTGCAGGTCGCCATTTTAATTGCGGCTTCCAACTCGACCGAGGCCCACTTGCTGCCCTCCAAGGCCGGGGTGGAGGTGGGGGGAGTTACGCTTTAGGTTTTTTTCTCGCCTTTCCCCTCCACTCTGCGTTTTCTTCTCCCCTCTCCGCCCCCTGGCGCTGGAGAAGGATCTCTCTTCCGCCAGCCACAGTATTCCAGCTGGGGCCGCCGAGTTGTCCCACCCGGTAACCTGGGGCTGTCGGTGCTGAGAAATCACGCTGAGGACTGTGGTTCGCCAGAGTGCTCAGAGCCTCTGACCAGTATTGAGGCATGTTGTGAGGTCCCCCGCAGCACCTCGCCCCCAACAGTCCCTGGCATTCGCCTGTGCCCACACCATCAGGTCTCCGTCCCGAGGGCGGCCTCTGGCGAGGCAAGGAAGTGTCCAGCTCCCGGGAAGAATATGCATTCGGCTTCCAGCTTCGGAAACAAGTCTCCCACCCGGTGTTCCAACACCTCTCAACTTCTGCTTTCCCTGGGCCCAGCCGAAGCGCTATGCTGGCGCACTGGGAAGGGTGAAGACGTATTTCTTTGGAGGAAGAAAGTCTCAAGAGACACCTGCGTCACTTTGCAGAGCCCCAACGTCTTTCTCTGCAGGCCTGGGAAGTTGGGCTCCCTGGATTGAGGAGCTGACAAATGGGTCAAAGGATCACGAAAGGCAAAGGCCTCCCACCCCAGCTGCTTAGTTCTGAGTGTCTCCCCTTCTTGGGGCCTTTCTCCCTCTCATTTCTCCAGCAACCTGCCGGGCTCCCGCTCACCCCGCAGCCTCGCTAAACCCAGAGCGTAGGGAAGCCGAGGAGAGCCGAGAGCCTGCCCAGCGGCGCCTCCAAGCTGTGGCCACGCTTGGCTGGAGGAAGCCACCGTGCCCTCGCCTTTCCTCGCCTCCTGCCAAATGGTTAGTGCGTCAGGGCGCTCTGGGTTGGTTTCTCCTCCATTGATACTGGGCAGTAAACGTCTCTCTCTCTCTCTCTCTCTCTCTCTCTCTCTCTCTCTCTCTCTCTCTCTCTCTCTCTCTCTCTTCCTCCCCCAACCTCCCGAAAAATGCTTAAAACCGACATTGTCCAGCTAGGTCTCCTAGCGAAGAGATTTCTTGCAGCGGGAGGGTCGAAGTCCCTAGACTGCCTCCCAGGCTGTACGTGCTGTTGTCTACATAGGAGCCAGATTTAAAGCTCCTAACGTGTACTGCTGCACTCCCGGATTCTTGCAAATAGGGTTCCTAGGAAAGTTCGCTGTCCATTTCACCTGGGAACAATCCCTCATCTCTCCTTCCACTATAACTTCCACCCCCAAAAGCCACGAATTCAGCTTCAAAGGAAAAGCTAGCCAAGACCACCTTAGTCCCTTCTCCCTAAGGATCCCTTCTTTAAATAGCTGCCAGTTCTAAAGGCCAGGGACCAAGTCCGGCAAATTGTCCTGTCCAGAAGTTAGAAACACCCCAGCCGGGAACTGGGGGCTTTGAAATTGGGGAGGAGGAGGAGGAGGAGGAGGGAGCAAATGTCATGGCTGGCTCGCTCCAGCAGCCGGGGAACCGGAGCTAAGCGCATCCTGACGGGCTTTTAAAATGACATTGATTGGGACAAGCTGTTCCCAACCCCAGTAAGAGTTAATCTGCCTGTTAATCAAAGCACTAAGGGGCTCAATGCGAGTTTTATTAGCAACTGGAGAACAGAGGCGGCAGCGAGGGATCAAAAGCTGGGATCCCAGATATTTTGTCAGAGTGCTCTCTTCCCAAAAAAAATGTATTTTCAATTAGAGAACAATTCAGCGGTTTTCATCATTTCCTAACTCCTCTCACAAATGGTGACTTACAAACCTGGCTAGCAAAGGAAAGCCTAGGAGCGGTGTGTGTGTGTGTGCGCGCGCGGGGCGGGGTGGGGGGGGCAGGAGAGCCGGGGAACCCAAGGGCTGATAAGGAGTTGTGGGTTGCCTCATCCAAGTTCGGTCCAGGGACAATTTAGGAACCCTCAAGCCTGGGGCCCTAAGCCTCTGGATCCTCCCAAGAGGAAAAAGAATGATAAATGAAGCAACAAAGAATACCACCAATATCAGCCTC